CCATAGAACAATTTCGATTTACATTACTATGACGCCTATACGAAAGTGAAAATCTTTATTAGTAAGTACAATGCTCAAACTATCTTGCTGCACGCAAATGTATCAAACGCAAATATATAAAAATAATGTAATTGTTAAATAATAGTGATTAAGATATTTTATATAGTTTCACATGAATAATTCAAATGATAACACTATCTTTATACTTGAATACACTGTAACAATTTTCACAGAAAACCGTACAATAAATGTTTGTAGAACTTTTAATCATTTTAATCTATTTTTCTTGATTTCAGGCAAGCTGTTTAAAAAGGCACCCGGAAGCAATCAAGAACGACATTTAAACATCTTTTTAAATGAGGAAATTATTAACAGAACACAGCAACAAAGCAACGAAAAGCCACGTAACGCAAAATAAAAAGCTACTGTATATTAAAATATCAATAAATGTTTTTTGATAGTTTAATTTTGTTTGTTCGTTTCGTTTTTTCTACATCTTCGGGTAAGTTGACTTTTGTAGTCTTATGTTTATATTATGTTTGTTGTATCTGACTGTTCACGTGATGATTATTCATCTCCCGTCTCCTAAGAGGTTGCTTTTCCCCGTCCTCATATGACCCTTCCTGTTGCGATGACGTTAAACCCCCCCCCCCCCCCAAAAAAAACTCTCTGACCTTTTCCTTTTTATCTTCTTTACATCTTAAATTACTACTTTACTTCTCTAATCCGAACTGTCACTCTTACCCTCCCTGTTCATACTCTTACTCAGATCAGATAGATTTCAATGCTAAACACGATGACCTTTCTACACGCCAGGGTTAAGGCAGAAAAGCTACAATAGTTTGTGTTGGGGGGAGGGGGTCACAAAGCTGTTGATATGGTGTGGCGTAGTTGATTATATACAATATGGAATAAGTGACGTCTCTTCAACTTGCTTCATTGCTATTTATCTGAATGACAGGAGTGCTATTTAAGTAGACGGATATAAATTAAATTGATAAAGAAAAAGCTGGAGTGTGTCAAGGTTCTGCTCTCGGGTCTTATCTATTTTAGTATTTATCAATAATGAATCACTCTAATGAAAGGCCGTTTTCGTTGATCGCAATCAAAAAGGTTGAACTGGTTGGACCAGAGTTATTCATTTATGAAATAAGGTCGGACCCAGTAATAAGATGGTGCTTTCATGCGATCCTTGCAAGGCCTGTATACACTTTAGCAGGTCCGCCAGAATTTATACCCAAAATTGCTATATTTAAAAACGGACGTACCAGTTATTCCGCATAAACGAACAGGCCTTTAGTTTCGTTAAATATACAGAAAACGGTGGTTTGAATGTTGGAGATATTCTTACTGGGGATTTAAGGAAAACATCTATTAAAATAATAATGGACAGCTCTAGATGCAACTTCTGTGATAATATATAGCTGTATATGTGAAAAATCATTAGCATGTAGTCCTGTGTTTTAACAGTTGTTGAACACGATCAGAGCATGTCAAATTTTTGTATGAACAAATGTTTAAAATAGTCTTTTAAATGTTTTAATGGTCTAAAAGGAGGCAATAATCACAACATACTATACAAGGAATCTGGCATAGATACTCTTACTACATTGCGTGACAATCAGGAATAGACTTTTTCATGATAACAGTTTTCGTCTAAGTCACCGAAGAATGTTTGTAAACGAAAAACTAGTATTTCCCAAGAACGACGTCTTGAACAAAACAGACTGTACAGGGATTTTTAACCCACAGCTTGCTGTATTAAGACAATGAAAGATTAGTTAAAGGAAAATATTTTTAATTTACCAAATACGTAATAATGTAAGTCGACTGATATCAAGTAAAGATAACCGTATTTTTTTACACTCAACTGGATATGAAAGACATGTTTAACCCAGCGCCCTAATTATCCAATTAAAATGTAAAAACCATTTAACGTGTGAACTAACAAGACTGAAAATATTACTTTAATAATTCTTTTATATTAATTCTTTTACAAGTTTTAAAATTGTAAATATAACCATTGAATCCAAAACAGTTTATTCTCTCTAGTGCGTTTGATTTCTTTTTGTAAAGTCTGGAAGATTTCAACTTTTACTAGAATGCAGTACCTTATTTGATAACCATTAACTACATGATATCACATTGACAAGTTAACACGCCACTGTTAAAGGGGTCCGTTAACATATGTATGTGTACTTGTGTTGATACAAGGACTCGGTTAAAAACATGTTAGTTGTACGTATCAAAACGACAAGCGGCAAAGGTAAGGGACGTTTGATCAGAAAATGGAGAAAGAATTCTTTTGGTCAAATGAAATATTAACAGATTTGAAGGAGTTGGATCCTTTTCGTTCCGATTATTTCCGAAAAACAAGAATAGTAATGTAACAAAAATCTGCAGAATGTGAAGAAAATATTTTCTTATAACATCCATAAGCTTTCAATAGGTCAGTTACCACCTATATCTGGACACCGGACATATGCAGATATAGCCATAATATTTTTTATTTATAATCACATTTACTGTAACTTTTTAAATTTAAATATATTCATATACCATCTGGTCCCTAGCATCAGCGGTGAATCCAAGAAGGGCGAAACAGCTTGATGATGCAGTGTAATTCATTTTCGGCTTTGCTACATTTATTACCAACTTGTTAAGGTCAATCACAACGTTAACGTCTGTCATATACTTAGTCAACGAAGAAACCCCCTTTTTTCTCGAACAATATTATAATAATATACAACATTTGATATAGCGCCCTATCTAGCTAGAATAGGCTACTCTAAAATGCTTTACAGATAAACATAGATAAACAATTTATACAAAAAATACAATAAGCATCTTCATTAATCAATACAGTTTTCGAGGAATTCGCAGGAGCTGCCGTATCAGGCGTTAGCTACTAGTCCTATGACACCTGGCTAATATCTCCATATGTGTATATGCCTGCGTTTGTGCTGGAAATTTATTGTAACTCTAAACCCAAAATACTTTTTGGAAGCCCGACAGACTGAATAGCTTTCCACATTTTCTTTTCGCTGAATTATCTGCTATTGAGTTCGCCTCATACTCGGGCACAGTTCTCCATCCTAACTCTGAGCTATCTGCCGATTTTTTTAAGTTTTTGCCTTCTTTCTAAGATTGTCATACCTTCTCCTATCCTCTCCAAAGTATGGTCGCTTGCATTCTCTTTCAAGGCGACCTCTGCCTCTTTTATCTTTCGTCAAACTTAAGCATTCATATTGAACTGGGCTACGAAATGTCTGTTTCTTTAATTTCGAATACTTCCTAAATACGATTATGAAAATATTTATCTATATTTCTAATTATTGTTCGAGGTAACAAGTTCAAATTTGCATAAATTAGAATTTTTTTAAATATTCAGTGAATATTTGGATATTTTGCATAGTTTTTCTCCTAAAAACTATAGAGCGCATGCTTGAACAAACTTAATATCAAAGGATAATGTGTAAGCACCTGTTATACATCTTTAGGAGAAACACAAGAGAAAAACTAAGTGAAACCTGTCAAAATTGACTAAATAATCAAATTTCAACAATTTATGCAAATATGACCTGGTTACCATGGCAGCCAAAATTGAAAACACAAATAAATATTTACATAATAGTACTGGAGAAATATTCAAAATTAAAGAAACATTCGTTTGAAAGTTTTAATTTTGATGGATTTGGGGGCCAAATAAGGCCCAAACCATAATTTAGAAGTCATTAGGTCCCCTAGTCTGTTGAGCATAGCGCACTGGGATTCCTTGACGTTGTTTTCCACCAGTGCAGTGATTTCACTTGGGTCCATCTAAAAATGACCTTCTGCCATGCGGGTCTCTGGCTAGAATGACCTGTACCCCCATTCATCACGTGTTCCTTCACACAAAGCTCGTGTACCTTGCCGCTACTCATGAATATTCATGTATGCTAATCTCAACTTGCGAACCTCTCAGACATATATTTCCTGCTATACTGCGTAATATAGGAAAGCTACATTTCCCTAAGGACCTGGTTTTTCTGTTTTGGGTTTCATGATATCTTTTATTTATTTCTTGTCTCCTCAGATCTCTTGTCTTTTTCTATGACCTTACGTTCTTATTTTATCCCTGTGTTATGAGGATATGTTTCATGTTTTTCCTATATTACATTGGAAATTAATATTATTATTGGAAATAGGAACAGATTTTTTTGTTTACAATTAATGTATCGATATATGACACGACATTAGCACAAAAATAACACATCTAAAACACTAGAATACAGCTGTTGATATTCTTTGAGAGCAAGAATACCATTATAGATCCGAACTAGCACCAAATATATATTAAGTGATGTATTTATGCATCGGGTAAACAATGATATCATTTATCGTTGTAAAATACAAAATATGACCATTTAAACCACACAACAACGCAAGCGAAACACTCTGGTATCGACGGAAAAGTTGTCTGCGCCACATGTGGTACGCATCACAATGTCTCCGCTAAAAATAAAATTATAAGGGAAGACGATGACAGGAATGAAAAAAGCAATATTGCAAGACAAACGTGGCAAAAGTAGGCGTTCGAGGAGTCCGGCTTAGTGTTTTTGTGGCATCCATCAAGACGGCCTTCACCCATATGTTAATAATGCTTTGCTGGCGAGTACATGTAACGTTTGTTTGTTACGTTAATCCTTGTCAATAACACACATATTTAATGCGGACAACTTTGACCGGTGGCCATCCAATTGTAACACAAGAATCAATCCGCTTTGATGTCCGCATATCAGAGAGCTGGCCAGCTTACCTGAAAACCATAAAAGTAACAACATTTTCGAAAAAGACATCAATATTTAATAACAGAAACAGCTTGGTGATGTTTGTCCCATTATAACAGCAAACTTTGTGACTCTGTTTCGTGTTTATCGTAGATCAAAGCTTCTTCTAAACAGAAGTCGACAAACGAAGATCAGCCCAAAAGTATTTTGTTCAACAGACAGCCAGTATAAATCACTCGAGTCAGCGTAATTCTTACAATACTGGACTAGATGCTTCCGTGACACCTCGTCTGACTCTTCATCCTGTATCAAAGGTAACTTTAAATATATTCTTCATCCTGTATCAAAGGTAATTTCAAATTTTCTGCTAATATTTATCCAGATGCCATTTCTTTCGTTTTCTAAGAAAACGTCAAACGTTAAGTGTATAATCTATCTAAGAATCATATCTTTTCGGTAAATTGAACACCAGCGCCCGTATTCATGAAACCGTTTTGATGGTCAAACTCAGATTCTGTGCCAAAGCCCAATTTCTTGTTCCAGGTATGAATTAAAACAAACACATTAATGTGTATGCTTCGGGAGAATTTGGAAGAAACAATGCCAAATACCGTTTTCAAAGTCTACATTTGAAATTTAGACCGTGTCGCGAGAATTTAGCATGTTCTAAATGCATGAGCATGAGAACGGTTTCATAAAAATGCCTTTGATCTGGGTTTTTTTTGTCTATGCCATGTCTGTTTATATATTATTACGATATTTGTGTATAATATCAACCTTTTGAACAACTTACTCTAAATGGTACATGGTGACCTCTATACTATTACAATCTTGACAGATGGAAACGATGTCTGCCTGGTTTCTGCTTCTGATCTGCATTGGACATGTTGCCGTGTGTGATGGGAAAGCTGAATTACTCGAAAACGTAAGATTTAACAGACAGTCTAATAAATTGAATTGCATGTAGCGTCTTCCATCCTAGGGGAACAACTTGTGTAACAGGATTTCTTCTTAAAGCCCGTTATCATTTTCATATTGTTTTCATTCTGAGCGTTTATATCTTAACACTTAAATCTACAATTTGACATTGATTTATTGTTTTCGATGGATTTTGTTTTTAAAATGTTTTTTTGGCTCAATGTTACATTAATGCTTACTAAGTGATCAATACAAATCAAAATACAAGAACATTTTCAAAGATGCGATATAATTGTTTCAGCAATGTATTTAAGTTATCCAATATAGCAACTGTGTATAATATGGTTGAATGATTGAAATTTGTTTTCTCACGTGCAAAAATAGACATGCTGTTTTTCAATTATCAGGTTCGGGTTTTTAGAGAGAGAAAGCGAGAGTACATATGTCGTCGCTTTATTACGCATATTCTGTCTCACAAACAACCATTTGTGGGCAGGTCGGGAGGGGGGTCTCTTTCTTTAATATTATATATAAATGAATGGGAATAATGAAAAGATATGCATACTAAAGTTATGGTAATTAGTACTGAAATGAACAACTATTTATCTGTGAATACATGTGTTTGTTTAATTCAGGGAGCTGTATCCGTGCCATGTAGCTTGGAGGCATATGATGCTGACGGAGATGGCCTGATAACTGAAACGGAAGTGGAAGACTTCTTTTTAGAAAATCACTCAGATGTGGTGGCCGAACTTTGGAGGGAATCCTTCTTCGTACAATTTGATTTAAATCGTAAGTACAATTGTTTGTTCATCAATTACTGCATTGTATCAACAGAAAACGCGAGATCAGAAGTACCCTCAAACGTTTGAAATAGTGACCAGAAACAATGAGTCTGACATAAGAGTATATTTAGGCGTACCATCTGAAGTGAATGTTTTGAAGCTCAGGTCATGCTATGAAACCCGCGGTTATCCAGATGTAATGATTTCTTTTTTTATCACTTAATATGAATACATCATAGGGTCTGCCCGGGTTTAGGAAACATGTTCAACCCCCAAAAAAAGCATATCCCAAACGCAGAGGGGCTCTCGTTCACCATGCCTCTTTCACTCAGTATTTACATACATTAGATACACATTCATGCTTGCATAAACGTTGTCCTGTATTTTTATTATTTTAAACCGAATTGATTTATCCACATTATCGTATGTTTCCTCTTAATATAGAAGCTTGTATATAATTATCAACATAGATTGTACTTCATCATCGTCATCATCATATTCGATAAGTTATCTATAATAAAATACTATGTTCTTTCTGTCTGAATTTCCA